CTCTCACAGTTCCTCATCTTGCCTCGCCTTTTTCCTTTCCCTTTGCTCTTTAAACAGAACAGTCTGTTTTGCAGAATGTTCTTCAAGTGAGTCTTCTGATGCTTCTTCATAATTAACCAGACGGTTATACATTTAGGCAGCAACAGTAATTAGAAGTCAGACTTGCTAAAACCATTCTGGGGCCCTTCCAGGAGAAGAGCCTGGTGTTCTGCATGTGGAATTGCTCTTGATGTGACCTTGAGCTAAGTGGTCTGAACCACTGTCAGACTCTTAGCTTCTCATTTTAAAGAGAAAAATGGATTGTGTATGTGCCCGTGTATTTCCCAGCTTTCTCGGAGTGAATGAGATACTTGAGGTCTGTGTGGACAGACTGAGGAAGGGAAAGAGAGGGCAGGAGCTGTTTCTGTGAGCTGACAGTTGAGGAGTGTGAGTCCAAGATGATCACAGAATCCATTTATAACTGCCAAGTTGCCCAGCTCTCACCTCCAAATATACCCCTTATTTACAAAGAATCACTTCTGTGCAAAAGTGGTCAGAGTCACATGCTGGGGTACCACAGCTTGTTTCTCACAACACAAAAGATCGTACAAGGACCAGCGTTCAGAATTTTAACACATTTGTATAGATATATGAGCTCTCAACATAATTTTCTTACACATTGTTGTAAGCTACCTCCTAAATTAACCTGCCCCTCTGTTTCTGCCCACTGCATCCCAGTTGGCTCAGTTTAGGAAAGAAAAAAAAAGGCATCCAGAATGAAGTGGTCAATCAGAATGGCCTTGCCCAAGTCCAAGTCATAAGTGCAGCTTCCCTCTCCCCTTTAGTCCAGGCCTGGCCCAAGTCCTTGAGGCATGCTCTGCTCTCTCCCCTCCAGGACTGACCTCTGCCTCACCTTGTCAGTGCTCACCCAAGGACAAGTGCTAGGCTCCCTGTCACACATGCCAGATGACCCTGCCAGCCGGGATGTTGGAGTCCACTGAGGAGGGAAAAACGTCTTCTGTGAGGAGCTTTATCCTTCTGTAGGCTGTCTCCCTGCCCGCAAGCCCTGTATGTTACCATGGGAACGTACTTCCTTCCTGAACTCCCACCATTCTCCCAAGCATAGGAGGAGGCCACATGTCTGGCATGCTCCGACATTCACTGTGTTTCCTAGGGCTCCACTGAAGATCCTCTGTGCCTCCTCAGTGACTTTCATGCCTACTGACCCAAAGTGTTTGTTCAACTGAGCACAGAACAGCAATGGAGTCCCCTAAGAAGCCAGGACATAGAGATGGGATGTATTTTGACATCTATCAAGAGAGCAGAACAGACCAGATGGCTTTAAGGATCCCCCTTTCAAACTTGAGATCATATGAAGATTAATCATATTTAACCTGAATATTTCCCAAATTAATTGCTCTTTAATATATAATAATATAATATAATAAATATAATATAATCTAGTATTCCTGGAGTTTGCACAGAAGTATATAAAAAGAGAGGATTACAGAAGCAGCTCAGCACAGCTTGCTATCTCTTTAGGACTTTTCCTACTAATTAAGCAAGAAGTGTATTCTGTCTGGAATTACTGTGATGTGGAGATGTAAAGAGGAGGTAGGAGAGAGGGAGAGAGATTGCATCTAAAAAAAAAAACCACACTGCTAAAGATTATTGTCAAAATAATTTTTCCATTTTATTTAACAAGATGACTCTACTGTACACATTTGTTTAATAAACAGAGTGTGAAATATTTATTTCCATCTTCATTTTAGTCTAACTTTTACTAGGTCTGGACATGAACTGTGAACTGGCTTTACTGAAGAACATGACTGCTTAGCTGAATCGGCGTGTCCAGATATCAGTTAATTTCCTGGATGCCTCGGAGGCTGCTGGTGAGAGCTCACATCAGTCTCCCCACCACAATTAGGCCAGGAGCTCAGAGACACCAGTGCACACGTGTGATAGAAATGAACCGGTTACAGCAAACGGCCGTTCTTCTCGGGGTGTTTACGTGTAGGTAAGCACACACACGGAAATCCAGTGTTTCTTTTCTACCACAAGCGAGCTTTCGGAGAGCCATGGAAGGTTGTGTGGGACAGAGTGGAGCTCAGTGACGGAAGGGGCTCTGCACTGCACTGCAAATGAATGCCAAGAGAGTTTGCCCAAACACTGCTGCACTTTATCAATTTGGTAAAAATGGAGACTCAAATTCCTTCATATGAACTTTCTTCACTGGAACAAAAATTATTTTTAAGATGACAAAATCATATTAATAATTTTTTAAAAAAGTATTTCAACATTAAATCCCCAGGTTAAAAATTTTATACTGGAAAAAGACAGGTTACTGCCAGAGTGACTGAGGAATCTTTATATTGATACCCTTGACATTTTTTTGATACAATTGCTTGTCTGAACTGGCAGATCAGGGAGGTAATGGGTGTTTTCAGAAAAGAGGCCCATTCTTTGCTGGAGGGGTCCAGTTAAATGCCACTTTCATTAATGGAATAGTAATTATATTCACTTACGGCTGACAATGTTTCGATGTCATGATAAAGTGACCATGTTGGCTTAGGATGATGGCTTGCCATTTATTGACAAAATACATTGGAAACATCTGTACTTCAGTTAAACTCTGCTATTCACAAATCAGCAGATACAGGGACACAAGACACAAATACACAAAGTTATGGCCGGATCCCTTAAAATAAGAGGACAGTTTGATGCAAAACAAAACAAAACAAAACAAAACAAAAAACAGAGATGGACATATAGGTGTAAATTCCAAGCAAGCTACCCTTCTGGAAAGAGTATGCTATGAACTTCAGGGAAACCTATTCTGTTCAAGAGGGAATCGCACACATAAAAATAAAATATTTAATATTCTACACTATATTACAAAAATAAATATATTAATCAATAAATAGTAAGAAGCCTAGGAACTTTTACATGGCCATGCTGTGCTGGTGGTGGCCTGCCTGAGTGCCCATGCTGGAGTTTCTGTCAAGAGTCGTTAGGTTTATCAGCTTTGGTGTCAGAGCGAAAGGAAGAAAAAGAGAACAAGATTGGTATGGACAAGCCATAGTGGAAGATATGTCATTGAAGAAATGTATCACAAGTTTCAGTTTCCTGAGAACCCACCCTGTGGCTTCAGGTTAAGGCAGTGAAGCAGAAAGGCCGTAGGCAGCTGCTGGGAGAAGGCAAAAGCATGCTTCTATTTATGGCTTTTGTCACTCTGCTCTCTGATAAGGAAGCAAAATTCACAACAATAATGAAAGCAGCAACACTTGACTATCCAATACTTGGCTATCTGCACACCTTTCTACAAGAAGACCATCACGAGAACACAGCTTGGATTTGCACTGCAGTAAATGGAGCAGCATGTGGGGTAGGCAGACAGCCTCAGCTGTCACCTCTCTTCAGTAGCTCACGAGGTCTCCCCGGATCTGGCTGCACGGGCAGCGATGGGCATGGCAGGACTCAAGAGCTGACGCCTCTAGTGTCAGAATGTGAGTGTCAGTGGTGCTCTGTGGCCAGAAAGCGTGCAGCTCCGGGGACCTGGCTGTCATGTTTTCCTTGGGTTTGCCAGCCATTTGGCATCACACGACACATCTAAACTCTTGAAAGTACAAAGCTGGGCTTCTTTCTGTCCTGGGCTGGTTGTGGAGCCATGACCAGAACTTAGAATAAACTGTTCCTGATGAGCTGAAAATGTTATTATTTTTCTAGGACGGTATCCTTGAGAAAGGACCGGCAGTACCATGGAGTATGAGTATGTGTGGTGGACCATAAAGTATGAAGGATGTACCATTTCCTCAGGGTTGCTGGCGCGGCTAGCCGATGCCGGCTATACATGCACAGAGTCACGCATGTGCTCAAACACACGATATCAGAAAGAGTCTAACACAGAGGCTTCTTAGCGGAATAGCCCTGTCAGCCACAAAATGCCCCTCACTATGTCCCCACTGATGAGCAAAATATTCCTCTTCTAGGGCAACAGCTTCTCTGAGATTTGCATGTTGACTGACTAGATAGACAGATTTGAAGAACAAATTCAGAAAATACCTCTCCTTGACAGAACATATAGCCCTTAGAAGTTTGTGGAAAGGAAGCTGATAGCTACCCCAGAATATATATATATTCAATATATTCATATATATATATATTCATATATATATATATATATATATATATATATATATATATATATATATATTCAGGGTAGGGTTGGGCAATGTGCTGAAGACCATATTTCTATGTGAATCACTGTGTCACCTCTCTGCCAATGCTGCAGTGATTTAGGACCTGCCTGCTCTGGCTCCCTCTACAGAGTCTAGGATCATAACAGGAAGCTGTAGGACAAGGACCAGGGTCTCAGTGTCCTTACAACCCACCTGGTGATGAACAATCATTTCAAACAGGAAGGAGGGAAGAGTGGAAAGAATGGGGACAACTTAGGGTTTCTCCCAAGATCAAGACTGAGTTCAAAGTTGAAGCTCAATGTTTGAGTCATGTGCTTATGTGTCTATTAATTCATGGGCTTGAATATAGTCACTTGGACTCTAGTCTTGTGTTCTGTCCTCTTCATGAAAAACAGCATAAAGAATATAGCTACAATCAAATCAAGTTGAATGTCCAGAATAAGCCTGGAAGTAGGATCAGTAACTGATGTCACACTAAGTGAAAGTGCTTTCAGGGGTGCACTCATGGCCCATGTCATGGGTAATGAAGGGGAGAGAAAGACAAGAAACAAGAGGCACGATGGGAAGGAAGTTAACCAAAGGGAAGAAGACAGGAGAAAAGGCAGAGTGGCCAGCCAGGGAAGGAGGTCATGAAGTGAGGAATATTTTCAATCCAGTCCATTGAACAACTTCCTTCTCATAGTCCTCTTAGTCTTGGATCATTTTATTTTGTTTGAAAAGACTTATTATCCCATTAAAATTGTGGTGATTTTACCATCACACGTGAGGACAATATCTGTGCCCTTTCCCTTCCCTCCCTCCACCACCTCCATAGCTCTCTGCAACAGTAAAGGCTGGCACAAATGGCCTTGCCTCTTGTTGACTGAGGGGGTGTCAGACGCTCTCCTCTGGAGTACATGACCCAGAGGCCCATTCTTTACAAAGACGTCTCTGGGACCGTTGCCCATGAAGGCCATTTTGTTTTGTGTATCTGACAACCCCACACAGCTCTTGAGCCTGAAGGTCTGAGCCATGGCAGACACAACGGGAAAGAACTGCTACATTTACATTCCCAGAACATTGGGAAAATATACTTCTGTAAGTGGTTAAACTCCTGATATGAACTTGCTTAGCCTAAGTCCCATGTCCCAGAATACATACATTCTGGAGGAAGCCACTCACATGTGTGAGGAGTCTGCCTCTGTTGAACAAGAAGATTTTTGTAAGTCCATGTACTCTTGCATTAATATGCACGGATATCTGTGTGTTGAGGCTATTTCCTGCTCTTTCCAAACTGACAGAGGGTAAGGGGTACCAGCCTATGTTTTGTTGTTAGAGATGGTATCACTAGGAAATGAGAGTACAAAGCAGATGAGCGGAAGGGACTGGATTGTATAGCAAAATACACATTTTCTACAGCACGCTGACCTGTCCGCTTCCCTAAGGTGGCACCCTCTATTATCTGTACACCTTCATTAAATAGTCTCATTAAATAGGACACAAAATATACAGATTTGCAGTTATTAAATAAGCCGCGGGGCACCTCTCCTATCTACAGCCACATTCAGACACGGCCATTCCTTCGTATTTGAACTTGTAGGTGACAACACCTTTATCTAAATAGAGGATGGAGATGGGATCCAGCTTGGTGGGCACACAGCAGGCTTTGGAAGCTTTCTGGGAATTCTTGAGGTGGACCAAGGCCTGGATGATGGCGTGTTTTGTGGGTGTGAGGTGCTCCGCCAGAGGGTAGTTGCAGACCCCTCGGCACTCATAGGCTTCGTACCCTGGCGGAGCAATGATCCAGGAGTCCCAGCCGATCTCCTTGAAGTCGATATAGAGGGGCATTTTCTTGCAGTAGTTGCCCTTGGCGTTCCTCCTGATTCGCGCTGTCGAGTCATCGATCATGTTTGACCTCATCTGCAGCAGGGCCTCTTCGTCAGGCCTGCTTGGGAAATCATCCGAGTCCAGGTCCAGATCCTGCTCATGGGTGATCATTTCGTCCAGTTCCTCTTTCTGCTTTTTGTCGTTGCTTTGGTCATCAGAAAACACAACAAGCAAAGGGTCATGCTTATTCTGGGCACTGATATCTATTTCCAGTTGTCCCCTCCCGGTGTCCTCAGCTTGGTTTTGTGTGCTTTCAATGTGGATCTCCAGCTGATGGGTAGACGCGCCTGACTTCTGCCAACGTCTGGCGGCATCCGTGACATCAAACGTCTCCCACTCACTGTTGATTCCGTAGATCTCTGTTGACACTAAGACCAGCATGCTCCTTTTCTCCTCGCTACCCTCGCCACCCTCGCCACCCTTGCCACCCTCTAGGACTTCGAAAATGGTGATTTTACGGTCCACACCGTCATACATCATGCGATCTCTCTGTACCAGCGTGTACAGCCTGAGTTCAGCCATGACGATCTCTTCGTGGTGAGGGATGGACACATTGAACAGGAGAGGGTATTTCCGGAGCCCTTCAAAACTGACTGGTTGAGAAAACAGACCTAAAAAAAGAAAGATATTTATGAGAAATCAGACTCCCAGTATGCTTTGTAATAAAACATGCTTACTTATGGAGTAATAGGAAAGAAGACTTGCTGGTCTGAGTTAACCTCACCAGGGTAGAGTGGAAAAGAATCTTAGAGCTACAGATGAGCCCTCTGTTTTTCCAACCTGTAACAAGCCATGAAATAGAGTGTGGAAAATGCTCTCTCTCTCTCTCTCTCTCTCTCTCTCTTTCCTGACTGAAGACTCCACAGCCTATGTTTGTAGTGGGTGGTGACCTCCATGAAGTTGACTGGGCCCTGGGCTTCACGAGAGAGCTCCGTAGAACAGGGGTTGTTAAACTATGACCCACAGGCCAAGCTGGGACTGTCACACGCTTTGGAAAGAAGAGCTTCACCAGCACACAGCCCCACTCGGGTATGGCTGTTCCGCCTCTGGCTCATTTGCCCTGCAGGGGCAGGGTTAGATACGGGCTATCTGGCCTTTACAGGAAGTTTGCTGACCCTGTCCCTAATAACAAAGTTTAGCAAGGTCAGCAGACCAACCTTAAAAGGAGTCACGAGCAGCTGGTTCTGGAGTGTGGTAGTCCTCTCTGAGAGTGAGAGAGAGAAAGTGGGTCTTGAGGTAGACAGATTGCCTTAGTGAGAGCCACCTATACAAAACAGCTCATTAAAGGTCTTTGTGTCAGAAGGGTGTCTCCAAATGATTTTATATTGATTTTTCTTGACAAGGTCTCACTGTGTGCCCCTGGCTGGTCTGTAATTCATTATGTAGAGCAGGCTTGCCTGGAACTCCCAGAAATCCTCTAGTTTTTGTTTCCTGAGGCACACCACAGGCTTGGGTCACCATACCTGGCCTGATAGTAACCTTTTACGTGAGAATTTTGGAGTGAACCCAGAGCTCCTGTGTGCTTGCGTCAAGCGGTTTGTCTCTCCAGGGACCGAGACATTTGACATCAGCGTATGCAAAGGACTGGGACACCAGAGCTGTCAGGGACCTACAGCGGAGGGTCCTCTATTGTCCTTGGCAGCCTTTCCCTAACTGTATATCCAGCTCGTGAGACCTCAGTGGATTCTCAACATCTTCCTTTAGCTGATTGGTTCATTCTCTCAGAAGAGCTGAGAGGTGTTACAGGCTTTTGAATTTAAGCTTGTAGGTGTTATGGGCTTTTAAAATTTACATAAATAAACTATGTGGTTACTTTGCACATTTCACAGCTTCCTCTGGCTACTAACTAAAATAATTTTCAGACTGGCGATGAGGGTACTGACTTATGAGACGTCTCTAGCATCACTGGTGTGGCCAGAGCAACTGTAACTGGGCCTAAAATCCTGATCAAGCCTTGGCTCCTGTCCATTCTTTACAGTAGACAGAATAGGTAGTTGTTGACCAATTGAGTGAATACTTTATCCTGGTTTAGTAATAGTTTTCCCACTTGAAAAGAAAAGCACACCTGCCTTCTCTGTATTGAGTACTTTTGAGGACGTGCTCCTGATTCTTGGAAAGAAAACCCTCTTGTCTCACTTCCACTTCTCCATCTTTGGTCTCCCTTCCACTCCCCTTCTCCTGAGTCATTGATGCCTTTAAGTCTCTCTCTGAAAGTTTATCCCACTAGGAGTCATCTATGTGCTTGTCGTCATGGAAGAGCAAAATGGCAGAGCAAGCACATTGCTCCTGCATGAGAAAGTGCAAAAAAAGTGCTACCCACAACTCTTTGCATATGTAACAAGAGATCCATGGAAAAATCCAGAAAAATTTCAGAGCTAGAGAAATAATGTCCTTGACAGATTTCACATGCTAGTCGCTCTGCAAATTGTATGCCTGTGACAATGACACTCCCCCCCCACACAGTGCACACATGGATCCTGTGCTGGTTTTGCACTAGAAGAAATGAAACCACCTTTTGCATATCTGACTTCCTAAACAACATGGAGAGTGCAGCCAAGGTGAGGACTGAAGCCACATTTTCCACCTTGCATGTGACACTGGTTCAAAGATGGGTTAGGTCTGGTGTTTTCTTGCTCTTTACCTCCTAGGGCATGGCACTGAGCAAACACAAAACGGTGTGTAGATGGATGACAGCAGCCAGCAGGGAGAGCCTGGTGAGGGCACACATGTCCTCTGCTCTGCTATCTTCCTCTAGGTTGGCGGGAGTGCAAAGGGTGCATGTCTCCAGGTCTGACCCTTCCTTCCCTTGTGATCTTCAGGAATGGCAAGCTTGGTCACTCCTCATCTCTATCATGTGCTCTTCCATGGGAGAAGCAAGAACAAAAGTGGAATAACGCATTCCCACCATGCCTGAGCTAGGCTGCATTCCCCCTGTGTCTGAGCTAGATCATGCATGCCTCAGAGTGGGAAGCTGAGGCAGGCTCCTTCAGGAGATTGCTCTTTTCCTCTCAGATTGCCTCCAAAGAAATCTGGAATCAGTTTGCTGTTTCCACCAGAAATATGCTACTAAATAGAAGTGATGGTGATCAGTTGAATTTTAACACTGTCTTGGTGTCTGAGGATTACCCACTCAACATTTACTTCAGCACCTAGAACAGTAATTCATTAAAAGTCATACGGTTTGACCAGCATTTCCTAACCGTGAACAGCCCTCTGTTACCTATAGCTGCTGTGAGTCCCTCATCTGTGTCATGTAGCTTCTACTTTACGGAGGAAGTTGAGGCTCCGTTCACTATGACTAGTTATTCACAACTTCCCAAAACAGCTGGCCCTCAGCAGTCCTGAGCTGTTTCATTCCACTGCCCTCTGCTTCCAATAGCATATAGCACGTATTGGAAATACTGGTCAAACTTCATATTTACTCACCCAGTGACTGTAAGAGTTACTATTATTAGTAAATAATAAACAACCATCTTCTCTCTATCTGCAGCCTCTACCATCAACATTATATTTTTTTCTCCTTAAACATAGGATTAGCTTGCTGGCTCATCTTAAGATCTGAGTGGAAGAAGTAATACTTTGAAATATGTATATTGCTCTTCCTGAAGATAAGCGGGACCTTTGGCTGGGTACTGAACACTTCTTGGAGTCTCACTCTAAGCAATGAGCCATACCATCAGGCACAGCACAGCATTAGAAGAGTCTCCCAAATACAGTTCTGTTCTAGCAGGGCATTGTCTAGTGAGGTCACAAACGGAGACTCACCCAGAGTCTGAGCAAACTACGAAGCTCAAATTCCTTATTGTTTTTATTGTTTTCATCATCTTTGATCTAAGGAAAACTTGACAAATTTTTGTCAACCTGAGGTGGAAACTGAGTCCTGTTTAGAAAGTGGCAGAAAAGACAGAGCAACAGATCAACGTTGATAGTTTTTCTTTTTTTATATACTTGGTGTCTAGATTAAAACACTATCATGAACCTGATGTCAGAATGATAAGTGTTTTGTGAGCTTTCATCAATGGCTATTCTATAGCATTTTGGGAATTCCAGGAGGACCATGTGGTACCGTCTATGCGCTGTGTCCCAGAAGTGTGTTTCCACGAGTGCACCCTCCTACATCATCCCCACACAGACATTTAGTTATTTCTTCCCGAGAAAAACACAGCCCAAGCCTCATAGGTGAAAACACAAGCCAGCCTACCTTCATTCTTGAAGCTCCGGATGATGTTAGCAGACGGCATGGAGGTCCGGTCCGTGGCGAATTTGTTGTAGAGCTCCAGCATGTACTCCGGCGGATCCACCTTGCCTGTGTCCTGCAGGGGAATGTCCGACAGGTTCAGCGTCTTGAGAAACTCGTCTTTCATGCTCTGCAGCAGTGTGTGGAAGTCAATACCGTCTTGCTCTGTGAAAATATCATCAAAGAAGGGCATGTCTTCTTCCAGGGGCGACTGCTCAAGCCCCATGATGGGGCTGCCAGAAGCTGAGTGAGCCACCAGGCAGAAGACAGCGCTCAGATGGAGGACCAGAGAACCCATGACTCTGCTCAGCTCCACACGCCAACCTAGGAAGCTTTAACTCCCCTGAGCTCTGAGTGGCAGTTTTATCTCGCCGAGCGTAAATGTCTTGTGTCACTGAACACGACACAAGTTTGGAAGCCTCTTCCTCTCTCCTCCCCTCCCCCACCACACCCCACCCCCCGCCAAAAGTCAGGTTTCAGTAATTGGATAGCAAAATCCCCTATAGGGCCTAGCCTTTCTTATCTCCCCAGTGTAAACTTGTACACCAGATTTCATTTTTATCTTGCAACCCCTTTTTCTTTTAATGAGCATTTTATAAACATTTCCACATTCTGACACTGGTGAGAGACAGGACAATTTTCTCCTTGCAAAGGCCCTTCATTCGACTTCCTTTGGGTAGGAATGTCTGGATTCTGTGCCTACGGGACTCAGTTCTGCACGTGCACGGGAGATGTTAAGAACCAACAGTGCACACGTTAGTAGTAATGCGTATTGATTCAAGCGACGGGACTTCCTCGCTCAGAGATGGACTAATTATCCAACCCCTTCAAGTTAAGTACATACAAATGACTCATAAATAACTCTTGAAGCATTTGTTTCTAGAAACAGGAGAGAATGAATGTCCCGGCCATTTTCCTACAGGTTTGATTAGGCTGAAATAAAACCAGCGCCTTTAGAGCGAGTTTTGGAGTGTGGCATTGCAAAGAAGCTTTCAGAAACCATTTAACGTGCTTCACCTAACAGCCTATTCTCATCCTTGCCATGTGCATAGACACGTAAGGTCCTGCAGCAGTGGCCTGAGTCACTTTGCTGTGCAGCCATAGCAGCTAGACCCCAGCCCACTCGTACCCGGTAGTCAGCGAGGGGGCAGGTGGCTGACTGTGGATTCAGGTCCTGTGCTTATGACGCCGTTACATGACCAAACTCTCTGCCAAGTTCACCTTCAAGCCTAACTCCAAAGCTCCACCAGCTGAGCAAACGGCATTACTAAACAGATAAAAAATGCCAAGCATCTTGGTAAGGGGTGGGGTGGGGTGGCATAACTGATTGTGTGTCCAGTTTAGGAATAACAAACCAGGCTGACCATTCGGTCCAGGCTAATTGGCGGCAGCGGGAGGCGCGGCGCTGTCACGGTGGGTCTGCAGCGCGCTCCGAGGGTGATTTCCTGGAGGGGCAATTACAATGGCATCTCCTCTGCTCGCTCAGTGTGTTCCCTGTCAACTCCTCGGTGCATTCTAAGGAAAGTCCCTAAACCTTCGCTACACGAGAAGACTGGCTTAGTTTCCTGATTAAGGTTTGCTAAGCTCTTCCTAACGGGCGACCACCATTCACCCTTCTCCCCACTTCCCCAAGTTTCTAGTACCTTTTGATTCTTTCTCCTCTTTCCTAGATTTTTTACAGTAATTTTGAGCTATCTTATCTTAAAATCGTATCTCTAGTACCTGCTCATTGTCCACCTGTCTGACAGCTGGTTCAAATCCAACGTTTTGATGAATGTTTTTGCTCTTGCAGCAAAATGGCAACCGCAGACTGGAAGATGGTACCTAAGAGCCATACACTCGAGGGAGTCCCAAGTGAGCTCACGGGTTTTAACGGGAGGTTTCCAAAAAGCAAGGCAGCAGGTCTCCTGTACCGTGTCCTGCTTAAGACAATCACCTGCCTATCTACACACACACACACACACACACACACACACACACACACACACACACGCACACACACGCACACACATGCACAGGCACGCCAGTGCACAGTCCATGCCCGCACCACTGCCACAGAACAGCAGAACACGCAGCTGCACTCCAGTTCCCGGGGTGCACTGATCCCAAAGGGTCAGAGGACAAACACATACCCCACGATTCTGTGCTCACCACACCTCAGGCAGAAAAACGTGCAGTAGAGTTCCCTCTACTTGGTGATGGAGAAGGTGATGGAAGAGTTAGACCTTTTCTCCATCACCGTGTTCGTATCATGAATAGAGACGCTGGGAAAATGAGCACGGTTACATCCCGCTGCCCGCACCGCCTCGAAATACGTGCTCAGTAAGGGTTCTTATACGCTGTACCGGGGCTGTGTGGATGGGGGAGGCAGAGGTTCACGCGTGCAGGAAGGAGCCACTAATCGCCTCCCTCTACTGCCCCTGAGATGCACGATCATTCCGTCACAGGGCCTCTTTATCAGGCAAGTCTCTCTAGAAATCTCTTCCTAGTGACTTTGATCTGCCTCCAAAGGAGCTGAATGTCTCCACATACCTTTTACCATCTTGATTTTTTTTTTCTTGGCACAGTCTATTATTTTAACCGATCCTGTTATTCCGCTCATTTGGAGTGTGTTATATTCCGCTCACAGTGGGCTGAGTATCACTCTTCTGCTGAGCCAGGTAGATAAAAATCAGAGTATCTCATGGAAATGAAGTACCAACCGTACATCATGTTTTTCCAAGCTGGTGCAAAGTGTCCTGTGTTTACGTCCGTAACTCCACAAGCACGGAGGAGCTAATGTTGAGCTTCTTTGTTGTCTCAGAGGCCTTGTGGTGCAGTCCAGGATCACAATGGACAGGATCCTTGTGATTCCTGCCGTTCCTGTGAATCATCAGACTGTAAACAACGCAGTCAGCAAATATCCCCCAACTGACACGAGGCCAATGGAGTTAGCAGCCCCTCGAAGACGGCTCTAGGCTCTTGGAACATACCCCTTGGCTATTTACTCAGATGTGATCAAGACTTGGGATACCTTTCAAATGTCATATAATAAAGAAAACATTTAACCAGCTCTATGGTGGGTTTGTCTGTCTTGGCAAATAGCCGTTGAAAGGTTTCCGTTTTCATGTCTTTCTCTTTTGCCTCCAGCTGATACTTCTCTCTCACGCATGTTGGATGTTACATCTGGCTGTTGTTCACTGGTTTTCATTTTTAAATTCTCATTAGTTTTATAAATATGAGGTTTTACTTGTTTACTGTTAACTGAACTCTCTTCTTAGTGTTCTACCCAGCCCTATCATGAACGATCTGTGGTTTTTCTGCTCAGGTGAGTCTCCAGGAGTGACATCTGTTAGAGCATTCCGTCTTTCCCCACAGTCCCTGAGATGCCTGGATGGTGGGTTCTGGACCACAGATAAAGTGCCAGAGTTTTATTAATCTATTTTTTTTTCATTTTTAACTGCTGGCATTTCAATAGCTACATTTAGCGAGTGACTGTGTGGGCCTGGATTATATTCCATAAAAATAAACATGAGAGTAGAGTTATTGGCCAGAGAAAGTAAGACTTCCAATTTTATATAAATGTCAAATGGTTTTACTGAATAGATTTTGTTATTCTTTTTAAAATGATATCACAACAGATCTTATATGAAAGAGTTTATTCAGGGGAAGGGAAGCAGAAGAAAGTTAGGGCCTGAGTGAGCCATGAGGGCAGAGACAGAGAGAGACAGGGGGACAGAAATGGAGGGGAGGGGGCACCCTGACAGACAAAGGGGAAAGGGGGAAGAGAGCAGGAGAGAAAGAACTGTGTCTGCCAGGCATGTCTGCCATACACCTGGTGGGGGACATGTGCTGACATCACAGGTTACTAGGCAACCCAGAAGCAGGCTGACTATTTGCTAACATTCCTCTCTTTTTCTATAAAAGTGAGGATGTTGGACTGCTCCTCATGTGAGGAAAGTTAAAGTATATAAATGTAGGTTCATTGGAAGCAGCTCCTGGTCGCCATGCAAGGGAGAGGGAGAGAGAAATAAGAGCACCAAAATGTCCAGATTACAGGGTGAGGAGGAGGGGAAGCCCCTGCAGTGGAAATTCAGGGTAGAGGGTAGAGTTTGCCAGCCATGCACTGCAGCAGATACGGACTGAGGAATGCTGGGAGAACCTGGAGCTACTTGTCTTGGGCCTGAAGCACACCATTCTAGCTTTCTGTTGATAATAAGTGGGTAACGGGTGAAGGTTTTCTTCTGGCTACTTCCTGCTGACACTAGGGCAGCTGTAGGGAGGTCAAAAGGCTGAAATGTTGGCCAAGTCCAGGAGGAACAGCCTGCTTTGATGCTGTCTAGGAGTCTGTGAGGACATCCATCGCTGGGAGGAAAAAGTGCAGGCCCAGCTTGACGCAGTCTGCGAGGTCAGACTGGAACACTTATGGTAGCTGCTTTGGTGCTGTCGTGTGATAGATGTAGGAAATACCTGGGTCTGGCAGGATACTGTAGCTTATACAGGCAGAAGACAAAGTTAAGTAGGTTACAGAGAAAATTCCCTTAGGCATACATTTAAAATTTTTAGGAGACTGAACAGAGATGGAAGGTTTGGATCAAGGCTGAGACTTGAACATGGGAACCTCCATTTACCTGATTGCTGACAGTAATTAAAAAGGTTTTGCTTTGGATCTGTCATCTATGGAATATTGAGGCCAAGTTTAGTTGCAGACATGTGTAAGCTTAGAGGCCCTAAAAGCCGGTGCTAGCTGTAGAAATCTGAAATTCTCTAGACGCATACCAGAGGAGAATCTGGAGGAATGGACGAATGGACTATTCTCATTGGGAAGACAGGATCAGTGACTTGTCAAGGGGTCCCAAGAGTGAGGTTTGGCTCAGTAGGTTAGTATGGTACAATCTGCTCCAACAGCTCGTCAGTGTTGGCCCCAGACCAAGGGCACAGTGGCCCATAGCAGACAGGGTTTACCTAGCCAGGATTTTTGTAGACATGGGAGAAGGGGAGGGAGTGAAACTGTGCTGGTAGAGAGAAAATCTCACCCAGGGGAGAAGAAGGCCCTAGATGGAGGGTTTGGATGTAGTTGGCAAGAGCAGTAGGAAGCATTTGCACCAACCAGAAGTGGAGTCTCACCGATCAGCTGGTGTTGGGTACAGAAATGTAGTGATCAGGTAGCCAGGAAAGGGAGTCCCAAAACCAGGAAAAGGGGGAGGAATCCCAGCCTCTGAGGTAGGCGATAGGTAGAAACAGGCTATTGACTGGCAGTACTTCTCTGGATTTCATCTGACCTGTGGGGTGGGTTCAGGGGGATTTCCTGCAGCTTACGAGAATCCCTTTTACATTTTACAAAGGAGATAAACTTCAGACATGTTGGCATCACCACTGTAATCTGCAGTGAAACATACATTGTAGAAAAGGCAGCAGACATACAGCTTTGTGCTAACAGCATAAGCACTCTTTAAGGTGCGCTCTGGGAAGGCAGAAGCCTTCCATGAAGTAGAAGGGGCAAAAGCTCACTTGATCTTGACCTTTAGTATGATTACACGTCATGGAAGAGAGGCTCCTTCTCTCTATCCAAAAGACTGGGCGGATATAGATCTAGCATAATGAGAAATAGGTTTTAAGTCTATGCTTAAAGGGAAAACCAAAGGAGATTTAAAATCTTGAGCTTGGACACATGCCGGTGATTGGTATAGTGAAACGTTATTTTTAATTAGAGTTAGATTAATAGATCAGAGCTCTGGTGATAAAGCTCTGGACAGTCCATGCAACAGTAGCATAGCAACAGGAGGAAGTAGGAAGCATTTTTATCTAGTTAGGATACCTTAAAGCACCCTAGAACTTTCAACTTTTATAACTTGCATGTACCAACCTTGGAGGAACTTATTAGAGCCTCAAACATTTATAACATCCATTTACCAACCTTAAAATACTTTTTTAGACCCGCAAACCCTTTTTTTAGAGGCCCACAACTTAAACTTCTGTATTCTTAGGCCTTGTACCCAATTATTTACAGGAGACATAGGTGAGACAGCTGTGAGCATTCATTGTCCTTTAGCTAAAGATGTGGTGAAAGGTTACATCTGAGGCCTGTTTTTTGAGTTTGGTAAGAAAAAAAAAAAAGCAGACTATGTCTAGATCTGACAGTAAAAGCTCTAGGAGTGAGGATTAAGGCCTGGTCTCCCACATCTGTAGCCTTCTAAGACAGAAGTTGGCAATATGACCATGGGACCTGAGTGTGAGATTAAAACAGACCTGCAGAATTAGCTGGGCTTGGCAAGGGTGGCGGAGGTGGTGGGTTTTTTGTTTTGTTTTCTGTATCTGAGCCTGTTGGGAAGGCTCTCGGGCTTTAAAATTTATCTTTACCAACTCCTGGATGGGGGCTCAGGGACCATCCTCGGATGTTTCGTGAGACAGTGAGACCATGTTTGCATCTGTAAGATTGTAAGTATATTTTTGGACACGCTAAAGGGCTTTTTCATGTATGAGGTGACTGAATATTAATTTGCGTTTGTTGACCATCAAATATTTAACCTTAGGTTTAATTTCTGTTAAGCTGGAGCCTTAAAAAAACAAGCATAGTCCTTTAAAGTGAGGGCATGACAGTTTTCTCCAGGATTTCATATATAAAAAGTCCACAGCTTATAAAAGTCTAAGCCTATATTATAGATTAATAATATTATCATATTCAGAAAACAAGACCAAGCATATTTTAACCTTTCTGAGAGTGAAAAATATAGCATAAAAACCAAGTCTTAACATAAACAAATAAGTGTTTTTTTTTAAATTAATAGCTCTCAATTTAGAGTATCCTTGGAATTATATTATGAAGTTTAAGGGTATCTAAGCAAAAACTTTTATCTAGTAATCCCCAAGTTCTTAGTTTTAGAATAAACAACATAGTAGAACAGTATAGAACAACTTAAAAATTATAATAGAATTTATTATACCAAGTCTATTGGCCAGAAAGCCTGTGGTGAATCCAGATCATAGGCAGCTCATGGAGGGAGAAACAACATTTATTCATTATTTCAGGAATTGATAAAGACATAGGCAGTTGGACATACATTTTAAATTAGCTTGCTAATCTGAGCAGACCTTTATAACCTTGAAATTTTATCATCATATAAAAATTATTTTGAACTAGCTGGATCATATATACAGCTTGTTGATTTTAGCCTAAAAGGAGATAAAATAGAGTTAATTATGACTAAGGAAGCCTTATAAATGTAAACCCAATGAGCAAACTATATATATCCTTAGATAAGACTTCATGGCATTTTAAAATATTTTTAAAGAGCAGAGCGTACAGAAATTAGGAAGAAAAGATTTTCTTTAAAGCTGGAAGTAGGGCCTTAGAGATCAGAGATTTTGAGAGCCATTGTTAGAACAGTGCTTGGAGTCCTCAGGAGTGGGGGAGGGGTGAGCATCCATGAGACCCCAGTGCATGGCATGGCTTTCCTATCCTAAATCTACTTGGTGGCTCGCCATGTGTTGAACACAGCTTCAGTGGCGCCTAGATGGCCCTCCTGGCCTGGCGATGGTTCAAAACGCTCCTCTCCTGGCATGGCTGAGTGGGTGTCTGTACAATTAAAAATGGTCCTCTGAGCATAAGCGTGAGAGCAAGCAGGTAAATTTGCTTACCTAACAGCGATGCAGGCTGTGTGCTATTTTGTTTCTGACCTGTTGGTCCAATCTCCTGCTGGTTGTAGGGCAGCATCCAGAGGTCCTAGACCAAGCCAACGTGCAGTGGGGGTGGGGAGGGGCTGGGGGGCGGGGGGTGAGTGGCCCATCATCCGTCCAAGGCTGCTCAGGTCTGAGCGGCCATGGGCAGAGGGGCCTCGGGCATACACCGCTGAGTGCTGGGTAGTGATAGGTGGAACAGAAGACCAGTCTGTTGCAGGTATCGTGGTTCGGGTTAATGGGTCCTAGCGTGACCAGACCCAGATGCCATCAGGAGAGTCCTTCCTGGCCCAACACAACAATGTTATTTTAAAAATGATGCCACAACAGACCTTATATGAAAGAGTTTATTCAGGTTACTAGGCAATCCAGAAGCAGACTGACTACTGAACAGATTTCCCATGCTTGTCTGTCTAGCAAAGGTTTTATTGATCAATGTCCTTGCCAGCAGGTGTTAGTTGACATGTGGGGCTCTGGGTGAGCATCTCTGTTTCCACCTCACCCTGGAGACTCCACAGGGAGGAGAACTTGCAGAACAGAACGAGAACAGCTGTGTAAATGTGGGAACATTAGGTGGGAGGTGCATGCCAAATATTAAGATCTATCAAAACTCAGTGGCACTCCAAACAGCACTGTATTGTAGGTACAGATCAAAAGACAGAGAGAGCCAGGGGAAAGATTCACAAGTAAGAAAACCGGCTTAAAAAAATAGCTGATACCGCAGCTCAGCTAGGAAGCAACAAGCATTTAATAAACAATAAAGGGTCACGTACTGGAAATACCGATTGCCCGTGTCATTCTTTACACAAAATATCAAATTCAGATCGATGGAGGGGTTTTATGAAAAAGAGATTTTGACTATTAGGGAGAAGTTCTACGAGAACGTCCCTTTTGCCCTCACATCCGGTACTGCTCCAACCCTAGAGGCCAGTGAAGACAAGAATGATTGTCCTAGTCAGCTTTCTCAAGAAAAAGGAGGGAAAAAAAGGTCATGTTTAGAGAGAGAGAGAGAGAGAAAAAAAGAGGTTCGCATGAATTCCAAACATCTGCCAATGAGGATGTCACTTTGGAATAGCAAGTCGGGCATACTTCAAATCAAGTTGAGTACTCTTGCCACGCTTTTTTGCACCTGTGTAGCCAGGGATGGGGCAATGTGACGAGAGTTTGCACTACCTGTAGTCTAAGAAACAACTTTGTTGTTCTTAGAGTAAACACTTTTTTTTTTTTTATCAAATATGCTTAAGTAAAAAATGCTAAAAATGAAAACGTCCACTGACCTAGGATATCCTGGGAGTGGAGCAGACAGTCCGTCAGTGTGCTCTTAGCACACGAGAGGTGTTTGGCAGCTGCGCTGAGCAACAGCGGAGAGCAGTGACAGGGATGCAAACGCAGCCAGGGCGCTCTGCCACCACCCTGAGATAAGTCAAGCCCTTTAACACCAGGGGCTGCTAAGCGCTTATTCCACACTCCGAGCGAGCGAGATAAGCTGCCATTCATGCCTTGCAGCACACCCAGAGCAGGAAAGCAGCTGAGAGGAAAATCTAGGAGGTGCAGCTAGGCGTGGGCGTCATCGTTTAGGGATGAAAATGAGCACATTTCAAGTTGTTCTGACATGAGTTACTTAAGGATCTGTTAAGAGCCTGCAGTCCTCCCCGAAGGGGCTACACAGAGTAAGCCTGCCTGCCGGGCACTTTGCATTCGAAACCCAAGCCCCAATGTTTAAGGTGCTATTTGTTTTCTCATTTTGCAGGAACAGCTGAGGTCCGGATGGTTAGATGGAAGTGCCTGGGTTACCTGTGGTGGAAAAAAGTTGGAGTCACGCCCTTATCACTAATTCTTCCTAATTCTCTAAACTGTTCTTGTTAGGCTGATAGTTCAAAGGGCTGAGCTCTGAGGGAATAAAACTTTTATGGTTATCCACTGAGTTAGCCACAGTAGAGGGCTCTCGGGGTTGTCTGCTAAGGTAATTTCCCCGAGGCTGAAAGAACCCTCTGGCGTTGTTTTATTTCCTCATTCAGATTCAATTTCAAGTGCACCATTTCTAGTTTAAGGACAGGCTACAAGTCTACTTTCCTTCCTCCCTCTCCTTCTCCCTTTCTTTTCTTTCTTTCTTAAAAAATACAGCTGCGATGTCCGTAGAATTCGGTGGATGCGAGTTTTGGAGCAGTGCGCATGCTGACTTAGAGGAGTCATCAGCAGAGCCCTGTCCACAGAGCTATGAGGTCAGGGCTGGGCACCTGTGAGAAGAGACTAGAGGCTTTATAAAAGTATTCAGTTCAAGTAGATCAGCCTGTGGATGTCAGCACCACAGCCTGAGGCTGTATCACCATACAGCACTGCACAAATTAACTTCTAGTTCCCATTTTCACAATCGGCTGGGGCAGCCAGGTAATTAAGAAGCATTAGGCTCTGAAAGCTGGAAGGAAACCTCTAACACTGCACAGGAAAGGAGAAGTGAGAGGAGAAATAACTGGGACCTGTCTAACCAGTGGGCAGCTGAGTTTTTTGATGATGTTCGCTGGACAAGCTTGAAAAGAAAGGATTCTCAGGGATAGTCTTAATCAATCAATGGCTGAAGTGTGTCACACATCAAACTGGAGTTAGGTGTGACTCATCTTCATCAAATGCTGTGCATGAAAAAGTATTTCTGAAAACTACGAGCTTTTTTTTTTAAAGTTATAATTTAAAGTAAAATTATGATGACAAATTCTTTGGTAGAATCAGCCTTCTGGATCCATAAAAAGAGGTCATCAGTGCCTTCCAAGCAACTTATCTTCCCTCTGCCCCCCAAGCCTTCGAAGTAATTTCTCCCCCTCATTCCCTGCAAAGGTGGACTTGTAAGGGCCAGATCCCACTCTAATGTGAATTTCAACGAAATAGCTCCCATTATGCCACAGTGTGACTGCAGACCTGGAAGCCACAAAGTGGATTTTAGACAAGGGTCTTCAAGCAGCCTGGCTTGATTCGATTTATATTGTGTGTGTCCAGAGGATCAAATGCCTGATCCTCCATGAGGGCCTCCAAATTATTAGTAAATATTTAATGTTAACAGTCATCATTAATTATTCCTGAGCACTTGGAAGGATTGGCTTGATATTAGCACCTGAGAGGGATTCTTGTGAGTGATAACAGCAGAATTCCCTAAATAGGCAGCCAGACAGCTAAACCTTGCACGAGGCCCTCAGTCATGTGTGTGTGGGAGGGATCAACTTTATTAGTGAAGATTTCAGCAGTTGCTTTGATTCTTCTGTCTTGCTCCTCGGCGGTCATTGGCTTAGTAAGATGGAACCTCCCAGCACAGTGTATGAGAGAGCCGAGTTGCCAAAAATGTGATAAAAAGGATTCAAAAAATTTGCTCCCAATCTATATTCCAGAAAGAAGAGTGACCCTTCTCTGTTGCATGGTTGACATAGTTCTGAGTTGCATCAGCTTCCACGCGATAAGGTTAGAATGTCCGTCTTTTCAAATAGCACAGACAGCTTGTGGGCAGGAGTGTGTTTCATTCATGCATCCCTGAACCCGGAAAGGAGGCTGGTACGAAGGATGCTTGGTAGCCGATAAACGTGGGTGCTGTGACGCAGTACTGTCACCTGTTGGAGCTTTGGAATCACCAACATTTCATTTCTGGCTGTTTCTCTTTAGACAGTGTTGCCAGGAGACTGGGCAAGGCTTGCCTTTTGGAAAGCCTGGCCATTCCAGTTACTGAGGGGACAAGAAGGGCAGACCTTCTTCCAGTCAGAAGGGCATACCCCCCCTTATCCACACAGTTTCGTCGACCCTCTTAGTTTTCTTTCTGTGCTTACTTTAAACTCTGTCTTTCTTCTTAAGTGGACAGAAGTACTGTTCCAGGGAAAGGAACCATCGATACAACTGATGCCATTGGTTCTGAGCCTTAAAGCTGCTTCCAACCAGAGCATAATTGTTCCACTGTGTTGTCTGGTCCAGGTCATCAGGGCACTACATTATATTTAGGAGAAATCTTCACAGGCACAGAACGACTGCCCAGAGTTCCACTTCTTCACAATGTGTGCTCTCTGAAACCTTGGTGAGGCAAGCAGCCCCAAGGAGGCCAGGAATCTTGAGCCTCCGCCAGAGGCAACGTTATCGCAGCCGACAGTTCGCCGTTCCCCACCTCTGCTGGAACAAATGTTCATCAAGCACCTCCACTCTGTAGTGCACAGTGGCCCGAGGCTGCCAGGAAAGATGCTCCAGTGCCAGCCAGTGTAACAATAGCCGGCTTCCATTCATTCAAGCCCCGCTCTGTGCCAGACAACAGTGCCCTGGCTTTCTGTCTGTTGTCTCATCCAGTCCTCCAAGCAGATGATGGCCTCAGGATTGTCATTATCCCCACTAAACAGAAGGGGGCGCTGTAAAAAAGTCAGGGAGAGGAAGATCAAAGATGATCCCCGCTTAACAACCCCCAAGCATTTCCGTGCCATTGTCATGTGTCCTCCGTGACACAGGCTCTGTGCCCCCACAAGGTTGCCTCAGTGGAGGGGAAAGTGAATGTAGGAAGTGACTCTCTGTTGCTCCTTTGAAACAGCTGAGAAACTTCCTTTCTGGTGCCCCGAGCTCTGCGCAGGAGGTAAGACTATTGAGAAAAGCAAGTGTAAAAGTGTGAGGAAGGAAGAGTGGAGACACTATAATAAAGACAGAAAGTATCAATGCACATGCTCGGTTGTACACTGAACTATTTACAGTCATGGCCTCTTAATCCTCATGGTTTCTGGAGGCCAATAGTATTCTGCACCCAGGAAAACTGAGGCTCAATGAAGAGCCGGAAGACCCACACTGAGGAGCACAGGATATGACTAGGATTCCGGCTCAGAGACGGCGGCTTGCTGGAGGCAGAGAAGGTGCTCAGAGCTGTGGAGACATGGCCCACAACTGACGTTTTACCTAACGGATAAAAACTGGAAAACCCGTGGTCTAAAGAGTGGTTGGTAGGGAAGTTTTGAGTTTGAAACGTCAGAGTAGAAATGAGAAGGTGGTAACAAAAAGTCAAAAGGAAGAAATGCAGAAAGTGGGGCCCAAGAAACTGGGTGCAGAGCTTTAGCAGTAAGAAGAATTATCAGCTTACTGAGAAACTACTCACAATATGTAGAAATCCCAACATTTATGGGTAGTCTTAAAGCATAACTTCCACCAAGTAAATGTAATATCATATAGAAAAAAAAATTAAGGACTTTCAGAATCTTCTATCTATATACTAAGTGCAGAGCCATTCCTACAGCCACTGATGTCAATTCTGATACTGAATTTCAGCCACTAGGAAGCGCAACAGCAAAGGGCAGGAGCAGAGCTGGCCCCCTGCAGGGCCACAGCAATGGTGGCGCCTAGGCGGTCTGCTCAGTATGGAAGATGAGCACTCCAGAAAAGGAGCACAGACCCTGAGCACAGGAGCACTGACTGTCCCTGACGAGGCCCTCCCGGTGACGCGGAGGATGGCAGCGGGCCTGGGAGGAGTAGGGTGTCTTTCAGATGGCGGGTGCTGCTCCCCTCGGAGCGGCTCACCTCCCTTTCCTTGCATCGCATCAGTGAGACAAACCTCACCGGAGGAGGAATCATCTTCCTCTTCCTGCTGAACTGCTGCAAACGACAATGGCACCCACGGAGACGCTTCACTTTGGTGACTACCGCATGCCCTTGGTCAAGGCCTTAACACCAACTTCTCTGGCCTTTAGCTGGCACTCCACAGACTCCTGCCTGTTCCTCTCCAGGATTCAGTCAAATCCCCTTTTCTCCCCGACCCCGGGTTCTGGCTGTGCACTCAAGGAGACATATTCACATTCCTCGGGAGGGCACAGCTGCAAGGACAGGCCTCCAGGGCTCTCAACGAGAGATCCTTTCCGGGCAGGGATTCCTCTAAGATATCTTTAACAGTCACTACGTGGGTGGCAAAGTGGTAATTCCTACTTCAGCTAGAAAGGGAATCTGTAGCCACATTTCTATTCATTTGCCTTCAGGAAATGAACATAAAACAAACAAACATGGAACCAATTTAATAGTGTCATATAAAACCTATTGCCAGAATCTCATGGCCCAACTTAGGGCTCCTCACTGTCCAGATTGTGGCATCTATGGTCAGAATACTGGCTCCTGGCTCCTTACTCATAGCTTCCAAAGCCTTTGTTTTGTCTCTTACAAAGAGGAGTAACGTTACTTCTCATTGTTAGGCTTAATTCTGAACACTTACAGTGAAGGCAGAGATTCACTCAGATTTGGGTTTTGAAACTATTTTCCTTTCAAGAGAAGTTTTGTTTTAAATTTAGTGTCTTCTATATCTCTTGTCATGCCTTAACCCACTATTCAGATGCATTTGAGAACTGCTTAGAATTTTAAAAAGCAAACAAGCAAACTATGACTGAATGACTACACAGTCTCATTCCCTGGCAGGTTCCATTCACTCCCACTGACAAAGTAGTTGTGAGAGAAGGCCAAGCCATAGCTCCAGCAGTTCCTTGTTGACTGTGTACACGGTGGGGAAGTCATGAAAACTGAAGTCGAAGCAACTTGGAGAAACATAACTCTCATCTGTCTGTCATTCCAGTGATGTGAAGACAGGAGTGAAAGAACCGGTATAGACAGAAGAAAGCAGAAAAGGCCCCAGAAATGCACAACCCCAGCCATAGGGGACTGACAACTATCTAGTCACCAGACCCCACAAGGGGACATAATTGTGACCAGATAAAGTTGGCCAGTGCTTCTCACAGTGTTCGGAGAAACTGGCTGAAGGCTGACAGTTAAACCAGATCTCAGTGAGTGAGGAATTCACCCAAGAGGTTGTTTTCAAACAGAAAACATCCTCAGTAGCACTGTAAGGACGAATCTAGTAGTTGACTAATAGTTTAAAAATTTCTGGTACTTGGGGCTGGAGAGGTGGCTCAGCAATTTAAGTGCATTTGGCTGCTCTTGTGGGAGCCCCAGGTTCAGTTCCAGCACCCATATGGTGGCTCACAGCTATTTATAAAGCCAGTCTTGGAGCCTCTGATGCCCTTTTCTGGCCTCTGAGGGCACTGCACATGCGTGGTGCACCTAGGCAAAGCTCATACACGTAAGATAAAAATGATAAATAAAATATTAGAAACAAAAACAGCTTCAGATGCTCAAGGCTGATTCAAATACAGAGGCATTTTGCTAATAGTCTGAGAAGTTGAAATCAATAGTTCCAGTCAATCTAAGGTGTCTCTTGCCTGCATTACCAGTGTCCAAGAGACAGAAGCTGTTAGGAGAGTTTCCATGAGTTCAAAGCTAACCTGGGTTACATCGTGGGAGCTTGTTTTAAAAAAACAAACAAACAAAAAAATCAAGATAACAACAAAAAAGTTGGGTGAAAGTGTTATACGCACTTGTAACATTTGGTGCCTCTGTATTAACTCACCAGTGGAAAGCGCCATCCTGTGCAAATAGACTTGTGATGTGCCTGAGGTAATTATTTCACTACTTGTTGAAGCAATCCTCGGGAGGTTTTACAGGGAATGGGACGACGCTGAACCGTTGGGCAGGGAAGCAACACTGTCAGAAAGAGCTGTAAAATATGGTTTTAATTTGCATCTTCTTTTCCTTTATTATAAAAATAGTTTGACATCAATAAACATTCACCGAGGTTATTGACACTTAAAAAAGGGTTATCAGAACAGCGGCAGGGCAGGACCTTGTCAAGCCTCAGGCATGGAGTTCTTATAAAATACGGGGACCCTGCCCCCATGTGGGCCTCTGAGCAGTGGCTGACAGAGAGTTTTAAATTTTGTTTCTAACCCTAAACTCCAACCTCCAAGGAAATGGGGCTGCTGGCGTGTGACAGTAGGGAGAAAGGAGGATTCCAAGTTGGAGTGGAAACCAGAACAAGCTCGCAGAACAAGCCTGTGTGTTTGCAGCATTGCTTTACAAGGCCAGATGGCAGGCCGCTCTTCAGTATATGGCCATGGCTCTCCCTGGCTTCTTCCCGGTAGTGGTGACAAGATTCCACAGTGTCTGTTTGGAGAGTTACACATTCATTCACCATCAGAATTTCAGGGCAGTTGACATTTGGACCTCTGGTTGGGGATTCTTTCAGAATGGACCATGTATGGGAAAAACTGTGCACGATTCCAGAGAAGGCAGAAATGAGATCTCAGATTGGAAACTAAATTTAGTCGCTATGTGCATGCCGGTCCCTGTCATGCTCCCTCTATCTCCTCTCACGAGGCACACGGTGTCTGATAGCAGCAATGGGAGGCTTTGTGATGCTCTTTCAGATGCTTTGGAAGGACTTAGCATTACCCTTCGGTACCCATGACTTACAAGAATGACTCATCCCATTCCATTGCCCAAAGCGCAATGACAGATGTCAGGATTCAAAGAGAGCAGGATTCAGAAGCAGTTGCCAGCACACACTTTCCATTCAGAACTTACAGCATGGTGAGTTACAATGTCAGGACTTTGGGAAAGGGTAGTCATCATGAGATGTGGTCGGGTAGTGACATGCTGGTATTTTATCCTGGGGTGACTGTTGTTGGTAAGTCAACGTGTCCTTACCAGAGGGAACGCCTTCTTGGCTGAACAAAAACATGATACGAATTCTAACAGGAACATATTAGGGTGGGACCTATTCAGAGCTCATAGCCCCTCCATCAGTGCTTCTTCCATTTTTTTTTCAAGTTCACACCTTCAGGAGCAGACGGTTGGACAGGGCACTGCGACGGCCTGTTAGAAAGAAAGGAACGCAACAGGGAAATGAAAGATTTGTTCAACAAGCTAAGGGTTCTGGGTAGAATTCAGAATGAAGGGGAGTGAAGTGGGGGTGACATCTTCCTAGAACTTCTAAAATACAGACACAGTGCTGGGGCCAGTGAGAGATGCTACAATATAAGGGTGATGCTTGGGTCTGCCTCCCCTGGATATGAAAGAAAGACACAGAAAGGATTTTGTGCTAGTGTGCCTTCATTGCCCTTCACTATTTCTTCTACAGAGGGGGTTGGTGATAAATCACAGTGATAACATCATAAGAGTGAGGTATTTGAGCTTTACAAAATAAGCACTATCTTAAACTTGGTTTCTTGGTTATAAAATTCCATTTCTGATCTTTATGATCAACTTGGTAAACCCATTAATAATAATAATAATAAAAACAATGCATATCCAGTATTCATGACTTGAGTCAACCTGCTGGGGTTTGGAAAGATAGCTGAAATCTCCAAACCTAAGCCACACAGACCAATGTCATCATTCAGTTCCCATGCCGCCTGTGCTGGCTAGTTCTATGTCAACTTGACACAACTTAGAGTCATCGGAGAGGAGGGAATTTCAAATGAGAAAATGCCTGCATAAGATCCAGCTGTTGCCAGCTGTGGGAGGTGCTAGCTTGTAATCCTAGCACTTGGGGAGGGGGAGGTGGAGGCAGAGGCCGAGGCTGAGGCAGATGGATCTCTGTGAGTTTGAGTCCAGCCTAATCTACGAAGTGAGTCAAGTGAGCCAAGGCTACACAGAAAAACCGAGACTCAAAACAAAACAAAACCAAAGATCTGGCTGCAGGCAAGCCTGTATGGTATTTTCTTAATTTGTGGTTGAGGTGGGAGGGGCCTACTCCATTATAGGCAGTGCGACCCCTGACCCCCAGCAGGTGGTCCTGGGTACAGTGGGCGGGGCAAGCCATGAGAAGCAAGCCAGTGAACAGCACTCACTCCTCCATGGCCTCTATGACGGGTCTTTAAACCAACAGTATTCTATATATAAAATTTATTATACACAAAATCAAACCATTAAAATTTAACAGATATAAAGCACATAGTTGATAAATGATTAAAGATAAGAAAATGGTTTTACATAAAATGTTTTATACAAAATTTATAAAGAATGCTTACAACATAGTTTTAGCTTAATTGACTATAATACATAAGGTCAAATTCTGTTACATCCACATGAAATGTATAAAAAACAATAAGGATTTCCTAAGTATTCAACTCTCCTTACTAATGTTTACCAAATCTTAGCAATGTTTATAAAACTGGCTTACAAAACCCAGAATTTGTACAAGCTGAGAGGGCAGTGAGAGGGACGGAGGGACAGGTGTTTGTCTGAGCCAGTTGGCAGGAGACGGAGGAGTTTGCAGTGTAGCTGTCAAAGCTGAACAATGGGGTATGTCAGTCCCACTGGGGGAGAGACAGATACATAGCTAGGACGGAAAGTGATAGATTGTGTGTAAGGAAGTAGAAATTCTGCTAAGAAAGAAGAGGAGCAGTGGTCAGATATCCTAGCTTACTCAGAATGTTTTCGGTTTATGCATGGCATCCTTAAAAGTTTAAATTATCTGTATTGATTTTAAAAGGTCTCTAGTCTGTTATAAAATACCAATATCTCTATAAACCATATTGCCAAATGCTGATCAAAAAAAATCTATAAAGTGATCATGTTGAAAGACTTTAAAAAAAACACAAAAAACAGGATTTTGTTTTAGCCTTTTACTAAATGAGATAACATCTAGTTA